ATGGACATCTCTGCAGGCTCAGCATCCAGAAAACCCAATCCTGCCAACAAGCTTTTGGCAGCAGGTGTCACATTACTTTGAAATAAAGAAGCTGAAGAAACATGAAAGAAATGGAGTAGATTGTCCCTAGTATGGTTTGGATGCATTCTACCCATACATAAATATCAATGACATTCTTTAAGAGGGTTTTCATTTTTTTCTGAGTAAGTCATGCCTGAAATATTCAGAGATAAAGGACTTCATGGAAGTAAAAAAGAGCAAAACAGTGTCTATAAGATGCACAATTAGCATTTAGACAATCAAATGTTTATCGAACTCATTATTTCATTTGTAACATAAACACTTCCATTTTCAAAAGATGTTCAGATGGATTTACATCAAATAAATTCAATGCTTTAAAGAAGTTGTCACCATCACCGGCGTCTGTAAAGCCTCACCTTTAAAACCTGAAGATACGGCAGTCCATCTGGTCCGTATTTACTGCCATTCTTCTCCACATGTTTTATCCACTGAATATGAGGTTGAGCATCACTGTAGACTTTGCAGACAAACTCGACGTCACCTCCGACGACTGCAGAGGCATTTGCTGGAAGACCAGCTTGGAGGATGGGCCTGTGCGGTGATTGGGGAGGGAGAGCGAGAAGCCGGGGGGGGCGGGGGGAGAGGGAGAGAAATAAAGATGCATAAAGAAGCAGAGCTGCCAAGAAAACTGTAAGTGAACTCGAGCCAAAAAGCCCTGTAAGCCTGTTGGCTGACTCCTCCGAAATAACACTGCAGCCAAAACGTATAACAAAAACTACAGTTCAAAGGAGATGACTTGAGCACTACACTTGTAATATAAAGAATTGCTATTTGGGGGGAGGGGAGAAACCTTGCTTAGAAACTTTAAGCATTTTTCACAGTTCAGCTCAGCAAGAATTAAGTAAAATATCTTTCTTCTTTTTTTCTTGAGCTATTGTAATAAGTACCTCTGAGTTTTGAAACATTCTAATTGCACTAAACCTCCACAAATTAGGAAGAAAGATTATTGATTAATTTAAAAAAACTGATTAATGTATTAAAATGAACCAAAGGGAATTTCTCAAAACTACCAGCAGAAGCCTCAGCATTGAAACTCCTCACGCAGGATGCACATACCAGACAGCTCGACTTTTCAAAACACTCTGACCAGTACTACCATGACAGCTGCTCTCTACTTTACCCAGACACAGCAGCAGAAATACCAGTTCGTTCTTATTCTGAGCAGGACACAGGGAAATAGACAGTTCTCTGGAAAACTGCAGTGTATTTAAATGTGAGCCAACAGAGCTTTTAATCCATGGACTTGCTTAAGCATTTATCAAATGTTCTTGGTCAAGCTTACATCACTGAATATACCGAGTGCACCCTGTATCATCTGGGTGGCTAGAGAGCTGCTACAGCCAGCATTCCTAGCCCAATTTTGTGGATGCAATATACATAGCCTTTGGGCAAAGCATCGATGGGAGCCTCGCCCTCAGCTATGACAGCAAGGCAACTTTCCACCACTCTCACTAAGCCTGATCTAAAAGCTGCTAAAATCTTCTGGGTGGTGGGGAGGGCATGAGCCCAGCTCCCCAGCCTCCAGGGCGACCGACAGCCTTTTTTTGCTGGAAAAGGCAGGTGGGCAAAGCATAAAAACTTTTCATTCAAACATACCGTAAGAGAAAGCCCTCAAAATTACAACCCTGGTTACCAAATTTCTTTATTACCCAGTAAGTGCAACAGACAATACCACCCTCCCCAGAAAACCTTCAGAGAGCTGCAGTTTCATCAGCCTAGCTGGGAACTCACCACCTTCTTCATGCAAACTTAACACTGTCCGTTTCTTTTTATAAGAATGTACAGTTAATACTGGCCTATATATACTTTCAACACATGAATTAGAAGTGAAAAGGCCATTGCCCATCCCCAGCCCGAGCTGTCCATTCTCCCCTGCTCCAGGAATTCTTTCGAAGATAAGTAAAAAAACAGGCAGACCTAAATATTTATTTTTAGAGGCTGTACACTATGAAAGCTTTGACATTACGAGCCAAATCAACCGAATTTCAAATCAAGCGTTCCTTCTTAAACATACTAGTTTCCAATAAACTGTTTCACAAGCAAACATTGCAAGCGTAATAGCAAATAATGATGCCCATGGAACAATGGGATCTTTTATACAGTCCAATATATTTGGCATGCGGCAAACATCTACTGGGAATTTATTCACTGAGGCTACACTGGCAGCGTACTACAAAGCAGCAGTCTTATTTTACTTGCGGTAAAAGTGCATTTGTGTTGCAGTTATTAAATTATTCCATGGCTATGTGTGTCATTTTCAGAGATGTAGGAACAGTTTAATATTTTTTAATTTGTAAATTACAGTAGAACATATGAATTACTATTTTACAGTTCTGGAGAGAACTTTTAGTTTCTCACCTTATACTAAATAAGCTCTAATTCCATCTCCCTTGCTCCTTCATTTGGGTACAAAAACAGCAAGCAAAAATCTCTCTTTAATAGAAACCTTACACCATCTTCCAAAACTTATTACAGCTGCCTTCAGTATAAAATGAAACCTTAGAGAATGTTATTTAAAATGTTTTTTAGAAGTCAGTAGGCCTCATGTTTCATTTCTCCACATCAGGGTTTGATTTCCTTTGTGACCTTATTCTCTGCCCTTAAACAAATCAGAGAATGAGGCCTGAAACATCTTGGAAAAGTTCCTACTATGCCAGCATCAACACACGAAATGTGTTTAGTTTATCCCGATAGCCATCAATGATTTAATCTTTTATTGACGACTGTCAAACCTTTCCTCTACCAAAAGAGAGGAGGCAAAGCAAAGAAGTAAAAGCAAAGTTCTTACATTCTTGGTCCCAAATTCCTTTAAAAAAAGTAAATAAAGTGTGTGCATATGTACAGGTAAGACATTTGTGAAATTTCTTCTCTAATGGTAAATGTGTTAAAAACAAACTTTAGTTGCCCTCTGACATATGGAGCAATGATTGGTGTCTGTCAACTCCCCCACTTCAGCAGAAAGGAGTATTCCTATGCCCACACAGGCAAACAGCACAAAAGAACATAACCGTCATGATGCAAATTCAGCAGGGTTTCATGACAATCCTGGAGTCCAAGGACCACAAGAAATACACTCAGTATTGGGGAAAATAACTAAATATGGAGAATCTTCCAGTAATTACAAATGACCAACCATAATCCTGCACAGTATCATTTCTTGGAAATAGTCATTTCAGGATGCTATCCTGTCTTTCCTATTTCTCTGCAAACCACACACACCTAAGGACTCTGCTTAAGCATAGGTACTGTCAAACCCACATTCATAAATCTCACATCACTATTTCACGTTTAAAATACAAGCCTTACTTTGTAAGCAGATATCATCACTCAAACAACTGGCTACACTAATATTAGGTGGAAATGGTGTGTTCTTTTTTGCTAAAGACTAGCAAAAGAGTCAAAGTTGCCTTTAAAAAAAAAAATCTTAAAGGGTGGTGAAACTAATTTTATCATTAGCCTTACATAACCTAATAATTATAATCAGGATCATCACTAAACTATAATGCCATATACATCTCTAGTTATTTAACTCAAACAGTATTTTCATGCAAAACAAGCTGGCAACCAATCTCATAGCTCTGTAGCCCTACTGATTTCAATATTCCCCTTGCTCATTAATATTGAATTGAATCAGAACCTCAAGAAATAAATCTTTACTATTTGACCACTGAAATTTTAGTGTTTCACTCTCACTGCTAACACAACGTTTCAAAAACAAGTCAACAGCATATGCTATGATGCAGAAAATCACCCCATAGATTAGCTGTCTTGAAGCATACTAAACACTACATCATAAGGACCATAAAAAGTAGTAGATACTATTTTATTACCATAAATATTAGTTACTTAGTGAACTACATACAGATCTACATGGTTTTTCATAGATATGCCCTGCTTTCTTAAACAGACCTTCCTGGTTCAACTGAAATGTAATAGATGTTTAAAAGCGAATGTAATGGATGTTTAAAAATTTTTAAAATTCAAAAAATATTTTCTGTATATTGAGCTGAATGTAATTGAGCCAAACTGATAATTTTGTGTAAGTCTCCATATGTTACATTTCATTTTTATTCTAGTTCTTCCCAAAGTCTAACTTTATAATACTTTTTAAAGAGAAAGCATGCTTAATGCTGGATCCCACCTTAAGAGACAGACATCAGCTTGCTTTCTCCAACTTGCAGTTTAGATACAAAACCAACATCATCCCCATTCGAGGAGTCAATTATCTACAAAAGGCAGAGTGAAAATGATTGCTCACGTGAAGTAGATCATATTCAAGGCTACAAGCATCTAAATTTTACACCACCATAAAAATGCCTAGGGCTTCAGCACTGCTGCTCAGAATTGCTTGAGCAATTCTGCTTGCTTATCTACAGACAAACAGACTCGCTATCTGAAAAGACAACTGACAAACAGACCTGCCCAATGGCTTAAAAAACCCTGTTATTTAGCCTGTTAATGTTAAAACTTCAGAATACCTTCTTCCAAGAGAGAAATCTGCAAAGAATCCAAGCAAGCTGGTAAAGTCCAAGTTTCTGAAAAACTGGCGCAATAGAAGGAGCTGCCCAGGAAACCCCCAGCCCTTCAGGACACCTGGAGGTGGGTGGGAGCCCATCCTGCCACAGATGATGGAGGGCGAAGCGAGTGGAAGAACTATCCTAGAAATGACTACCGGAGCCTGCACACTTCACGAGTCCTGAGAACTGGCTCTTTAAGAAGTTTAAGTCCCTGGACAGGTGGTTCCTACAAAAGGGCCTCATCTCTCTCCCATCCTCGGCTTTATCTCCTCCAATTTTTTTTGCTGACCAGCTGCAGCCAACACGGAGGGAAATCAGAGAGGAGAGAGACAGGAAAGTCATGATGCAAACATATGAGGTGAAGACGCTGGGGTACGGAGGTGGGTGACAGGGGCCAAAGCCCAAGTTTCACAGCCAACAGAGACCAGAAGATGCGATCCCACTACTCCAGTCCTAGTGCAGGGATGGAAAAACTGCGGGAAGAGAGGCTGCTCGCCGAGCATGCCGGCGAAGGGAAGATGTAGGGCAGGATTTGCTGCTGCCAGAGGCAGAAGTAGAGTGCATTGTGACCGAAAGAGTGGCTCTGCCGCTACTGGAGTGCCTTGGCAGGGAGAGGAGACAATAACACCGGAAGGGGTGAGCTCTGGGGCCCATCCTGAGGCCAAGTCTCCTTAGCAACCTGGCTGTGCCAGGGGCTGAGAAGAGCTCTGGTAATTGTCTATCCAAGCTTCCTTGTCACCCTAGCACAGACAGTTCAGGACCTTTCATGGGAGCTAAAAGCCAGAACCAAAGCCCATTGAAGTCAGGGGAAAAACTCACATGGAATTCAATGGGCTTTAGATAAGGCATTTGATTCATTTAAAAACATAAAAAATGAAAACTACTCTTATTTTCTCCTTTTGAATGTGCTTGTTTCCTCTCCTTGCAAATGTGTGATTCAAGTGCAGCCTAAGAAAATAAAAGCTGAATAGCAAATGCAAGACCAGACATGAGTTCTGGGGACAACGGGGAGATCCTCGATTGAGGGGGGTG